GAGGAGGGCAAGAAGGACCGAACGAGAGCGGTGATGTTCCCTCCAGGTGGTGGCAGGATTCAACCGCCTCCGGCAGGAGCAGAGAGGCCTGGCTTCCAAGGCGGCCGAGCTGGAGTTGGAGCTGAACGGACACAAGTATGTGGTGGCCGCGAATGACCGGGGGGGGGGGGGGCGTTTGTGGGTCCTTGCTCTTTTTCTGGTTTTGTTGCAATTGAATGAGAGTAGCCCAAATCCACCAAAATAACATGCCTTCGGAGGGCAGCAATGAGACTAATGAAGGGGGTTGTTGGTTCCTTGGTTCCTAGATTCTTTAGTAATGTTGCCCTTGTCTGGAGGCATTGAACAGAACTTCCGAATTTCCTCCCGTCTGCAGGCTAGTTATTGAAACACTCAGAGAAGTGGACCCTACCAGGAGATGCTACCGAATGGTAGGGGGTGTGTTGGTGGAACGCACCGTGAAGGAGGTTCTCCCAGCCTTGGAAAACAACAAGGAGCAGGTAATGCTCTTTGGACGGTGGGTAGCCTCTCCAGTTGTCAGTGAGGCAGCAAATGTCTCTTCAGCATCTTTAGTGAATAATTTCTGGCTTTTGAAAGCTGGGAAGAAAAAGAAACCAGGTCTGTAACCGTTCAGAGGAACACCTCTTCTGGTTGATTGGCACTAATTATTCACGAAAGACAGCTGTGAGTCACTGTTTACAAACCTCTTAGAATTTCTTGTGTTCTAAAAAGAACATTTGTGTTTATTATTCTAATATAGGCTACATGCAGGTATGTTCAATAACATCTTCAGTACGTAGCTGTAATAATATATTGAAAAATAATCAAGATTCTTTGTGGAGGCATGTAAGGATTTTCCTGTTAGGCACCAGCAACATGTCCCAGCTAGGAGTGCTGTGGAGGTCGAGTGCAAGCACCAGCTTGGCTGAAAGGAAAAAGCCAGGAATGTCGGAAGAGAGATCCAGTGGTTTTGGATCAGGCTGTGAAGCTTTCTCTCCCTCAAGGGCTGTATTTCCTTGCAGTAAACCTTTCAGAGATCGCTTGCAAGTAGAAACCCTGTTCTTTTCACACCTGAGGCTTTGTGCTAGGCTGCCTCTGGATCTAAAAATGTGATTTGGGCATCATAGCTAATTTTCACTGGTTACCATTTAAAGCCGTCTGAGCTGCTGGAATTCAAAGGAGAACTTTCTTTTTTCTGATTTGAACTTGCTGCTCAGACATCTCTTTGGGTGGCTACTGTAGGCAAGAAGGAAGAGGTTTTTTCCCACTTTAACAGGATTTCTTATGCCCCTGTTGGAGGAGCCATCTTGACTTGTGCAAAGCTGCAGAACGTCTTCCAGTTCCAGCCTTCTCTGAGGCACTGAAAGTTCCTACAGTTTGGAGAGAAGTGAACACCCAGCATAACATCGCCATTTGACAATTGTCCTCTGCTGTCCTTGCCAGTTTTTCACCACAACCCTTCATTAATTTAGCAAATTCTAGCCTGCCTGCTCAGTTCACATTGGATATATTTTGTGGTAACTCCAGGGAGTTATTTCTCTGAGCCACTATACCCCCAAATAGAGATGCCTGCCTCCTTAAGGAAAGTGAGAAGACTGCTTCCCTTTTCCCCTCCAGCCATCCCGTTTGCTTACTCCTGCTGCTTCTTCCCTATTTGCCCCCGCAGATCAACAAGATCATTGAGACCCTGAGCCAGCAGCTGCAGACGAAAGGCCGGGAGCTGAACGAGTTCCGAGAGAAGCACAACATTCGCTTAATGGGGGAAGATGACCAGAAGGCTCCTTCCAAGGAGAGTCCGGAGGGAGCAGCTGCCAAATCCAGTTCTGCAGGAGTCCTTGTCTCTTAGTGAGGAGAGTGGACTTGGATGGAAGGACTTAACCCCCCTTAGCCCACTGTTGCAGCTTTTGACCTCCAGAGCCCCCCCCCTCCGTTATCATTATGGATGTTAGAGTGTCATCTCTTCTGTGTTTTGTTAAATAAATGTTTGTTTGTTGTGGAATTTGGGCGAGCATGCAAGTCGGCGTCTGTGTGGGATTGTCTTCATAGCATGAGGTGGGGTGAGCTTCAGTCTAGGACAGTGTTTCTCAACCTTGGCAACATGCTGGCTGGGGAATTCCACACATTCCATAGTTGACGTCCATACATCTTCAAGTTGCCAAGGTTGAGAAACACTGGTCTAGGGGAAGCCTCTCCAGCCAAAGCACATTTTGACTCATCAACTTATTTAACAATTGAGAAATGAGGACAGTTGCTCAGTAGAAATTGTGCTCAGTGGGTGGAGCTTCATTTTCTTGCACAGGAAGTGCCCATGCCGGCAAAATATGTATGATCATTGCTGTCCAGTAAATATAGGGGGTATAGGTTGGGGGAAGCTGTGCCCAAATTCCTCTCCAAAGAACCATAGCAGAATTAATTATATGAAACATTGGATAATTTCATTTTGTAATTTTAAATTAAGAGTGGCAACATTTGATTAGTGAAAAATGAAAAAGCACTCTCAGTTCCTTGGGTAACACATCTTTAAAGTGAGTAACATAAGTATTTTAACTTCCCTCTTTTAAAACCCTTGTAAGTGAGCAAAAAAGGAGGGGGCTGCATAAATTTCAGCCATTCTGATAGCATCACTATATCACCAGAGGGCTCTTGCAGTTCATCAACAGTTGTGGGAACGATGGAATATTGCTTTTCAAGAAAGATGCACTTCATCTGAAATGGAATAGCCCTTTTCTCACAAAACTTATATTCACATGAAAATATATTTGCTTTAATTAATGTATTAAAAGCCTGTATGTGGCTGATCTGATAAAACCTTTAATGGGACTAGAACCCTTCAAAAAAGATACTCGGCAAATGTAATTAAATCTGTTGAAGGCTCAACTTTTTTAAACTTTTGTTTTAAAGGATAGTAAATCAAACTTTCGGGAAAGGTTACAGAGATCAGAAATTTCAAATTTTATTTGTAAATTTGGCAAAACTTTATTCATACATTTGGAACGTATCTAAAGTTTCGGGAGGCTGATCTCTTCCTGGCGTTTTCAGTTTGCGCCAGGTGCCTATTCCCATGCAGAAGGACAACTGACATCTTTCTGACATGCTTGAGGGGTGCATGTAGTTCGTCTGACTGGGCCAACTTTCCACTGCTAAAAGAAGAGATTCTTCAGGAGTGTTGGGGCAACCATTTGGTCATTCCAGCTGGTCAGCAACATTTTCAGTTTCATGGTGAGATCTTTAAGGTACAGATCTCTGGACAAGGCGTCTTGCCATCCGCTCCAAACCCACCAACCAGGTATAGCTTGTCATTCCAGAAGCAAGTTCGGTGCCCACATCTCTTCTGGGCCTGGCTGGAAGAAGGAAAGTGAAACCAGTTTGCTGGTGAAGCCCCTGGAAGAACGAAAAAGAAACATTCCTTGATCGTCTTGAAAATGTCCCCTCCAGGCCAGGGGCGAGAGGCTTCTGCTGCTGGGCCCTTGAGCGGATGGGAGGGACTCTGGGCCAAGAGTTGCTTTTTTCCCTCTTTCCCCACTTTTTGTTAATCACAAAAAGCAGCAGAGACCTTGTGCAGGAATGTCCCCAGCTGGCTCTGGGGCTGGCCTAGTGCAGTATGTGAAGGCAGGCAGTGGGGTTGCTAAATTATGAATTACGGTCAGATGTGCCCTTCACAATGCATCCTGTTTAAAGGAAAGGGATTTCTATGGAGTGTGGAAAAGGGAAACAGCTGTTTTAAATGTAATTTCAAGAGCGGGTTCCAATGTCAGATGGGAAGGCTGCTAACTGAGTAGGGGAGAGATTTCCTCCAGTCCTGTTCAAGTGAGCTCCTTTTATTCCAACGGCTTTCCTGCATTGGCGGTGGCAGGGCAAGACGGGACAAGCCGCATGGCAGAAAAGCAAAGGAGAGGCCCTTGTGTCATTGCTAACCCCACTTGCCGGAGGAGGAGAGAAGATTTGAAAGAAACTTACTGGTGTCATAGATGTAAAGATCATTGCAGATGGCATCTCGGCCCCTTGCCAAGGTCTCTCCTCCAAAGATGACTGCGAAAGGCCCGACCACCGTGCAGGAATGGTGCCTCAGGCCTTTGGGGGCCTGCCGGGATCCCTTTTCAGTGCCGATCAAGCGAGACAGGTGCTCCGTCAGCTCTGGAGCCTGGGTAGGCTCTACCTGCAGAAGGAAAGGCAGAGAGCTGTAGGGGCGGCTTAGCCTGACTAAGGATGCTACGCTTCTCGATTGGCTTCCTTTGAATTAACTAACTAGCCTTGTGCATTATGCCTACGTGCGGCTGTAAGCCAGTTAAGGACTCCTGACGGTCCACAGATGCAGACATTCTCAGTGAAGAAATCCACAAGAAAAACTGAAAATAAGATATAGAAAACTTGGAGCTGTTTGCTGGAGGTGGTCATGGAGGGAGACAGTCTCACTCCGAAGGGCCAGTGCTGGCACCTGAAAGCCATGCCTCCCAGCCTCAGCCCACCCTGCCTCCTGAAAGGGTCAACCCAGAAAGACTGTAGGTCGGGCCAATCGTAAAGCCAGAGAAGGCTTAAGAATGAAAAGCAGTGCGTGAAATTGCACCCAGAAGTCTCTTGTAGGCAGCACAGGGCCTGTAGTGATGCGTTCCCAATACCAGGTGTTAGCACGTGGGCCACTGCCTTCTGGACCATCTTGCAGCTTCTGTAGACCATCTGGACCATCTTAAAGGCAGCCCCAAGTAGAGCATGTTATAGTAGTCCAAACATGGAGCGGAACCACTGCAAAGCCAGGCCCTCAATCCCCACCCCCTGCCCGTGGTCCAGCAGGATACCATGGTTTATGGTACTGAAGGATGCTGAGAGTCTACGGCAGTGTTTCTCAACCTCAACAACCTTAAGAGGTGTGGACCTCAACTCCCAGAGGGAATTCTGGGAGTTGAGGTCCGGACATCTTAAAGCTGCTGGGGTTGAGGAACCCTGCTCTGAGAGGAGAGAGCATGCCACATATTGTTGACTTCAGACCTGATCTTTGGGCTGGATTTTGGAGGAGCAGGACAGCGCCATGGATTTCCTCCCCTCGTAGCAAGAATTTTACAGGGGGCACTTGCCCAGCAGGCCCCCTGCTGATCCCCCTCATGTAGTTTCACCCATCTGCTCGCCATTCAGAAAGCAAAAGGGCACTTTTGCTTTCTGAATGTCTGTGTAATTTTAGCTCACGCAAGGAGGACACGTAGGGTGGCAAGGGAGAGGAAGGAGCCCCAAGGATCTTGACCTTGGGGGAAATGGAGGGGGCCATTTCCACAGGTGCCTTGGCTTTCTTTCCCAGTCTTCTGAGCTACCAATCTGTAGGCCACGGGCTGGCGCCTGACTCACGTGGATCTTCCCTTTCCCCCAGTGCCCGGCCACATCGCAGTCAGCAGAATCACGCCCTCCAAAGACCAGGAGTTTGTAGCCGCTGCTCTTCCCGTGTGGGCCGTAGTCCGGCATCAGCATGGCAGAATGGCCAGCCCGTGACGCCGTCCGCGATGCCTCTTCTTTGTACCTTGGAGGAGGAGGAGGAGGAGGAGGAGGAGGGAAGAAGACAAAGGTTTTGCCTTTCAGTGGGTCCGGTGGTTCTGCCCTCTTCTGAAAACTCATTCTCTGTTCTGCTGCAGGCCATTCACTTGTAGACGATGCATTCGCATTTTGCATTACCTACATGCACGCTTTGTTTGTGCTAAATCTTGGTTTACAAAATGCACGATGCCTTTACATGTGCATCATGCTTAGCCATAAGTGGCTTGTTTGGGTTTAGCATGTTAGGTAAGCAATCTTGTGGTTGAGTAATCGTGATATAGCACGCTCTGCAAACACAACCATAGGACGAGGTATTCTTTTTTATGGGAGAAAAGCTTTCTACAGAGCAACTGCCAACATGTGGAAGTTTTATCTGAACAAGTCGGGGCAGATTTAAATGTAATTGGCTGAGTAAACCATGCTAAAAACGAGTTAGTTGTTAACTGCTCTTTAAGCCTCTAATGAGGATACTCTGCAGAAGAGGACACATTCTTCTGAACTCTAAAGAAAAAATGCTAGAAGCCCCATTCTGGCTTTAGTGGTTCAGAGAAGTCAGGTGGAAGCTCGTATCCTTGCCGCTCCATACAGAATAATTTCTATTATTCCCATGCCATTACTGCAAACGCGGGGAAGCATTTGGACACCTGAATGACATTTGCTGTCTTATCTGTCTTCACAAGGAGTAGCCCACAACTGTGGTTGAGTCAAAAGTTGACTGAGCTCCACACAAGGAGTCAGAGGGACTTTTTTCCAACTGTACTAAATTGGAAAATGAATGTAATAAAATCTGATAATCGGCAGAGGTGTGACCAGACTTCTGATGGTTTGATGGCATAGACCAGTGTTGTCCAAACTTGGCCACTTTAAGATGAGTGGACTTCAACTCCCAGCTGGCTGGGGAATTCTGGGAGTTGAAGTCCACTCATCTTAAAGTGGCCAAGTTTGGACAACATTGGCATAGACAGACACAGCCCTACACCCACAACGTCCATGCCAGGAAACGCTTCTTCACAGGACCGAGCAGGACGTACCAATAGGTCTTGCTGCCAGGATGGACGTGCAATGTGAAGACGCTGGCATAGCGCCGCTGGGTATGTAGGCCACCCTCACGGCCCACCACCAGCAATTCATGCTCCGTCAGCTTGGTGCAGGTATGGCTGCTCAGCCCCACGGGGGTCTCATTGGATGGCCTCGCGGTCCAGCGCTCCCACTGCTTCTGCTCAGCGTCAAAGCAGGACACATCTGAGACCCTGCGGGAGCCATCCCAACCACCCACCACGCATAGAAAGCGGTCGCCCAGCACCACGGCCTCATGGTGGCTGCGGCGGTACCCGCATTCAGAAGCAAGTGTGCGGACGGTCTGGGCGGCTGGGTCAAAGGCCACCACATCTCCAAGTGGTGGCTCCTGAGTCTCCTGCACCTTCAGCCCCCCAAAGATCAGGAGCTTTCCTTGCACCACGTTGCATGAATGGAAGCCACGAGCTACGAGGTCGCTGCGAACCACCGGCTCCCATTCCCAGCGGCTTCCACCAGAGGCTGTCATTCTGGTCTTCTTCAAGAGTTGGGGCAGCACAGAGCAAGGACCGCGAAGTGTCAGCTGGATAGGATGACATGGAAAATGTGCATCACCATATTGGACTGCAGCAGCAACCTTCATTTACCAGAAGCCATGACAGAGAAGAGTGAGCAAGCTTTGGGATGATTACATTCGTCAAAATGGATGTTAGCAAAGAAGCAGACCTTGAGGAGCAAAATGCATGGAAGATTTTACTTGGAAAAGTGGGAGAAGCCACCCAGGACTTCAGCCTTCCCCAACCCAATGCTCTCAGATGTCCTGCGGATCCAACTCCCAGCCAGGTTTGGCTCAACATTCTCAACATACAATAACAATATAGACCATGATCATAAACCACAGTTGTGTTCGTGCAACATGCTCGGCCAAAATAAATAAAACAGTTAATTCATGGCTTAACAGAATGGTCTGGTTGACCCAGTTTGCAATGAAAAGGCTGGATTTGTACATGGAACCATAAGATACCCAACTCTCCTACAGGCTCACCGAGCTTGTTGTGTGAACTCAGCCCCTGAGCTGTAAATCAACAAGATGGCCTGGGTTTGCACAAAACCCTAGACTATGGTGTCATTGGCTAGTTTATGGCTCTATTGCTGTGGGGTGTCCTGAGAGAGGCTGAGTTGGAAAGCTGGATGGAACCCTTCCCCTGCCCCCCTGTCCCCTTTAGTCTTTAAAAGGCCCCAAATTCACAAAAGCAGCCTTCATGGGGACCCCACAAGGCAGAAAACAGCCAATTGCTCATAAGACAAACTGATCCACTATTCCCTCTGGTCCTCCAGGTGATCAGAGCAGCGTTAGATGGTAGGTGGGCATCCTTCTAAACCAGGAGTTTTCAAACTTAGCTACTTTAATATAGGTGGACTTCAACTCCCAGAATTCCCCAGCCAGTATACTTTAAGATGGGTGGACTTCAACTCCCAGCATGGTGGCTGTGGAATTCTGGGAGTTGAAGTCCACCCATCTTAAAGTTGCCAAGTTTGAAAAACACTGCTCTAAACCGAGGATTGGGATGACCACTAGATGGCAGCAAAGAGATACGGAACCCTCTCTTTTTGGTGCCATCTGGTGTTTGCTCAGATTTCTGCAGCCCAGATCTGTTAGCCCTTAAAGGAGAGCTATTGGAAATAAGGGTGATGCTGGAGGTTCATCTTTTGCTTTGCATTTCTTATTTCAGTTTTTTAAATGAAACATTAAAAAGTTGGTGGACACCAAGGGAGGAGCCTGCCAGCCCCCTCTGCTAGTTCATTTGACTGGGAGGTCTTTTTCTTTGAAGAAGAGCAATGCCAGATGTAGCTGCAGACATAAACCCTGAGTTAGCCCAAATAGTGTATTAACAACAGAGCAGACGCAGAAGGGTGTGAACATGTGTGAACACTTGCACTACATGCGGGGGGACTATCTGATTGAGCAAAGGCCTGGTGAAAGCTGGAGGGAAATTGATCCCACCATATAACCTTTTCTACTGGCAAATTTTAAGGAAGAGAGGGTAGATTTGCATTAAATAGGCTAGCCAAATAATCAGTATTTATCCTACAAAGAGGTCATCAGCGCATCTCCTCAAGCACAGGGTATGAAATGGCA